CAGATTCTTCATGTTTATATGAGGAACAGAAACTTCAATAAGTAACAAAAAACTCCTCACGTCCATAAAAATTAGATTGCACTCCCAAAGTACTAGAGAAGAATTATTATGACTAAAAAGGAACGGAAGCTTAAAGATTTAGCCAGCATTGCGCAAATCTTAGATGAACTATTGGAAATAAATTAGAGAGTAGAGACAGATGGGTGAAATGAAACCACACATTAAAATAATCAAAACTTCTGTCCCTTTAAATTTCCAATTGCGAACTAACCTGAAAGCCAAATGAATACTGCAAGAAGTCAAATATGTCTAACGCCCTTGAAGCCGGTATAGGAAAAGTTCCAGGTAACTGAGGAAGGCCACTGAAATACTTCAATGAAGAAACTGCAGCTCTAACCTGATGTACAAATAAACCAGTTAACCATTAAAGTAGCAAGACAAGAAAAATATCACATTAGAAGTTGAGCCAATCACCTCAGGGAAAGACACAATAGGATTAGTTATAGTAGGAGCATCCAAAGGAATTATGTTATAGGGAACTAAATCATCTGTCATAGCTGCATCTGACTCCATTACACGTTTCAGCTGAAAAGCAAAGCACACCATTAAAAGATTGTAATTAGAACAAATTGGACAAATAGCATAAGAGACGACCAACATAAAGGATATACAGAGAGAGGGGGGAGAGAAAGAGAGAACTGCCGAGAAAGAAGAAACATTAACAGTGTTATAAGTATCGTATTTGCTGCAGAATCCTTTAAAAACAACTGACTATCGTTGGTACATGCTACAGGCATCAATACCTTGCACTTAGAACTGTCCACGAGCAGTTACGAGGGAAAAGATAATTATCCCTTACCTTTTTTAGATAAACAATGTAAGGACAAGTGCATCCAGATATCATCCGGTCAAACTTATTTAAACTTGCAAATATTCTTTCTATCAAAATCACAAAAGAGTCCAAGCAAATAAAAAGAACAAGGCAGGGATACTGACCTCCTCAGGAATTAATCTCTCAGCTTCTTCAGGGGAGACTTCCTTAGTCAGCTGTTCTAGAACATTTCCAAGGACCTTAAGAGTTGCCAAGACTCTTTTCCTCTTCACTGTTTTACGCTCCAGCCTTACAAGAGGAACACATCATAATTTTCAAGGGTAGGATTGTAGTAGAATTTATTCATGTAGATCAATTTTTATATTATTATCCTAAGTCAATCCATTGGCCAGATAAATATGATAAAAATGGAGAGATGTATGATTTGCACAGAGGTACAAGACCAGTGGCATCAACTAATTGACATTTAAGAAACACCAGAACCTAGTTTAGGGACCTACTCTCCAAGGTTACCACTGAAGATCCCAGACTCCCTCAACTTCATCTCCTCTTCTCGGAGCTGATCCACATTTTGCTTTTCCCTATATAGTTTATAGAACTCCCGTAAGCGAGCAATATCTTGGCTTCTATCGATGCTTCCACCCTCCCTCTTAGCCAGCTTTTGCTGCGGGAAAGTGTACATTACATGAAATAATTTAAAAAAAAAAAAGAAATCCACAAATACAACTACAAATAGATATCTAAATCAATAATATACCGACCATGTCACCAGAAAAAGGGGAATGCTAGTATGCATATAAGTAAATGATTTTTCCATTGCATCATTGAAATAGATAAAATGAGTCATGAACGTTCAAATACAAGAAATATCATGATTAAGATACCTTGATGACAGACATCAAACCAGTCTTAAACTGCAATACACCCCTTCCTTCACTATTAGGATCCAGATTTTGGGCCAATGAATAAGCATGCTCGCATACTGCAATAACAAAGACAACAGAGCAAGGACAACAGACAAAGTATCAAGCTGCCGCTGCTATCCCATTACAAAAACTAAAATGAGTTTGGGCAAGGAGTCCTGTTAATCATATCGCCCATACAATGGCATGTGAATCATAGGGCCTATTCAATGGCACTGGCAACATGCAAGCCACCAGTATTTTCAAGAATGTACAGTTTGACACAGGCAGCTTAGAATACACTGCATAGTCCATGTTCACATGAAGAGATCGGAGACTCGCATATTTAATCAGAGCGAGAGTCCATCCACATTTGATGGAAAAAAAATATGTCCATTCTGTAAGATCAGTTATCCTGGAGAAAACTTATTACATCATCTTTTGAAAACACAAGCTCAAACTAAGGCCTAGTATGCCACTATTTGGATTACTAAATGGCATAATAAAGAAAGTCCCTAACATGATACTAAAAGTGATCGTCTACTTTTTAATCCTATCTCGACATAATATGCCAATGGCAGAATAAGAAAAGTCCCTAACGGGCAAACCAAGATTAACTGATTGTAGTTAAGTCAGGGTAGGATAACTGCATTAATGTTCTACAAAAACTAACAAAACATTCTTTTTAAAAAATTAAGACTGACAATACATAAATAAATAACTAAATTAAAAGTAAGAAGGTCCTAAAATTCAGGACTATCTAGGAGCCTCCACTGTTCATATGACAACAATCATAAATCAGATCATAATACCAACTAATGTACACACAAAAGAAAAAGACAGAGGAAGGTACATACGGATTCTGGATACATTAGGATCTTCATCTTGGATTTCGTCTGCAGCCCTCAGAATATCATCTATGTCTCTGTTTCCAAGTGACGAAGGAACAGTGGAAGCTAGGTCAGCCTCAGGACGTCCATACAAATCCCCACCAGCTCTTCGTCCACGTAGAGCTGCACGCACCAGCCGCTCCCACAAATCCTCCACCCGAGACATCTCCTGAAAGGTCTACAACGATGGATGTCATTCAAAAACTACTCCTAACCAAAATTCAACACACTGGGAAACGACTATCCTCATCTGTTCATTGGCTAAACTAAACAAAGATTTGCACACATTTCGGACCAAATAACAGAGAAAAATGCGACTATAAGTAGACGACCGAATGCCACCTAATAAACACAATAAATTTGAGCTAAGCTAATCAAGACAACACAGGAAGAACGCCAATAAAAAAAAACTCAACTGCCCACATAACCCATATGTAAGCACAACTGTCTAGAACCCAATACGCACGGCACATAACCACGAACCCAGGTCCACAGAAAGCACAATAAATATGCCCAAGGAAACTAAACGAGAGCACAGAGACACTACAATAAATCAAACAAACAATAGTTTTAATTCAAATAATCAGACAGAGCTGGATGAACAGTCACCACAAATGGGAAAACAAAAATAACCCAGAAAACGAGAATTTGAACTCATAATCAAAACCTCAAACCATGAAAAAAAAAAAATAAATAAATAAAAACCCCATGAAATTCAGCTCACCCGACAGGAGATCTCCTCGGAAGCTCCCCCGAAACGTAAATAATCTCGCTCACTTTACCCTCTAAATCAAAAGCCACACAAAAATGTCGGAATTTTGCAGGAGGAGAAACTGAAGCCTCGCGAAAATCGATCGTTCTGTTTTCGAAATTGGTAAAGCGAAAAGTTTGTAATGAAGCTCGAAGCTGAGAACACTACGAAGAAAATGGGGTGACGGGGGCACGGATCTAGGAATGAAGGGGTCAGACGGTTTTTACGTACGAAGGCGATACAGATTCTTTTCGTGCGGTAAAATGCTATTACAACTAAAATCGTAAAAATTGTGTGCCCAGCGTTTTTGGTTCAGACGAGGGAATTGGACCAGCACAACACGCGGAACAGAGAAATGTTGAAAAAAAATTTGAAGCGACAAAACACGGAGAAGACATATGGTAATGGACCCATATGGTGAATGTGGAAAAGTATTTTTCTTCTTTCCGTTGTGAATATGCGATACAATATCCAAACCATTTATTACATCACATCTTTTTTATCTATATCTATCTATCTATCTATTTCTATTTATATATAATCCCGAATGCGTTGAGCTTACGTGGTTGATTCCGGTGCTTCGTAATCTTACTTGGCGAAGAATCATGCTTCGTAATTAGGTTTGGACAAATAATATTGATATATTAATAATTAATAATCTAGGTTCGGACATTCCATAAATATTATTTATCTAACTTAGGTATTTTAATATCACTTGTACTAATATAACCCTTTAATTATTTGTAATTTTATATAGTGAGACACTAAGTGACTAATATATCCCTGAATTTGAATTGTTTCCTTCAATTAGCTATTAAATTATAAATGTATTTTAAAAGTTGATAACTTTCGTATTTCTTATTGGTTTTACATATATTATATATCAAATTAATCATCTTTTGATGATCTTCGATTTGACATCCATATTGTATATATAAAATAAATAAATTATATTTATCTTTGTAATAATAAAGAATAATAATATTTATTAAAATTCAATAGAAAAAAACTAGCAAGCACCCGTGTAATACACGGGTGTTGTACTAGTTAAAGAATATTGGAAAATGCCACTTTAACCGAGCCATACTCCTCTACTCACGGTGAGCACATGTTAATATGTCCACCGCTTATGTGTCATACACACATTGGTGATGTATTTTTTTGAACATATTAACATCACCAATGTGTGCATGTCACGTAAGCGGTGGACATATTAACACGTGTTCACCGCGGGTAGGGGAGCATTATCTATAATTATAAATTGATTGATGACTGAAATTTATAAGTTAAATCAGGCCATAATTAACTTTCAAACTATATTTCGTTAATTTTTCTCATATTAAAGTCTCGTTCACTTTGAGGGACCTGATTATACAAAATAATCCTGACTACTTTATACGTCATCATTTAGTCTAATGTTTACTTTTCGGTATGGAATTGGCAGAGATGTATCCCACATTTACTTCAATTGATTAAGTCAGCGATAAACAATACAAAAGACTTCTATACCCTTATGTACCATTTGTATTTTTCTCCTTCGCCCCAGAATCAAATTCGTCTGTTCTTCACCCTAGTTCATCCGAGGACGCGCGACAAGTAGAGGCGACAACCAAAGTCTTGACAAGAAGCCGCCACAACCTGAACTCCACCGTGGACGACGGTCGTGCAGTGAGGGCGGCTCAAGTTGTTTCAAGAATCACCTCGTAGGTAATTTCCCATCAAAAAAATTGAAAAATATTTGTTTTATGAACACAATTTTGTTTCAGTTTGATTTAATTGTAACAAATTGGAGTTGGCAATTGTGTTGTGGTATCTACAATACCAAATTGGATATGAGGTAAATGCCCTAATTTCTAATTTGAGGTGAATGCCCTAATTACAATAGCGTAAGGTGTACAACTTGAGGTAAATGCCCTAATTTCTCCAAAGTTTAGTTCGGTGTGAAAGCTCTAACTGTTGTGTTTTGGATATATAATTTTAAGTTTGATGTTTCTGATTTTCAGCTGATATATAATTCCTCCAAGTTCATTGTTGTGGTATCATTGATTGATGATTGTGTTAACAGTTGCAGCCCGAATAGCCCATTTATATCCCTTCATGTCTTTTACATGTTAATTTGTTGATTTGTATTGAAATATGATAGGTCGGAAAATGTGCTTATTTTATATAGTTAATGGCGTATTCTTATACACTAATTTATTCGCACATTTATATTATTTTCGACATATTTATTATTTGGATGAAATTATTTGCTTTGATATTTTTATATATATTTTCAGCGCATTTGAATATTTTGTGTACGATGAACAATTGGCGAAAGTTAATGTGATCAATTAGATGACCAATACCAGTTCAATATTTTGGCCCGACTCATTATTTACGTGTCTGCTGATGAGGCCGGAAATAGAAGAGATAAAAAAGAAGCCAAAAAGCCCATCCTTTGGGGGCCACGTAGAAGAATTTCGAGTTTAATTTGATGGCATAGTAATTTGTAAGTGCAATTCATATACTTGAAGGTGATTTATTTACCTAGGACTCCACTAGCTAATAAAAGACTTGGAGAGGCATTATTTACGTAGCAGCAGATTGGGAGAAAAATAACACGTAGAGAAAAGAACTCGAACAGCCGCACGAGCAGGGGAGAAGAAAAGAGGCTGCACACGCGGAGGGAAGCCGCACTCGCATACGAGGGAGAATTTTATTCTCTCTTTTATCTAGCTTTTATTTATTTTTATTAGTATGTTAGGCTAGTGATTTTTATCCAGTTTTAGGGGATGTTTGAACCCTAACTTGAATTTGTCTATGAATTTAAGGATTTGAATTTATCGTTGATTAATTGAGACGTCGTATTTATTTTTGTTGATGAGTTGATTCATGTTATCTGTGTTTAATGTTTATGAATTATGGTGTTTGATTTAGTCTGGCCAACTACGTTAAATATTCATAGTTTAACTACTAGATACGAGACTTTAATCCGTAATTGTTATTTTCTTGTTTCGTTAGTAATAAACTAGGGGTCGTGCATCCTTAGGGTAGCGTGAACATAAGTTAAATGGTCCGAGCTCACGCGTCCATTGCTTAGACTGATCTAATTTCCCAGTGATTAATGTTGCTAGTGAATTAAATCTAGAGAGCTTATTCTAGGTTGTCCGCTAGTTAGGCTTGGTCGAAGAGCTTATTTCGACTAAATATTCTGTAAGGGAAAATTCGGTTAACAGAGCTTATTGTTAGCTAGGGTTGGTAATTCATTAGCAATTTAAAAAAAGCGTCGAGATTAATTAGCGGTAGATTTAGATTGGGTGATAACTGAACTGAAAACTGGATTTCTCTTATTTATTTGATTTTTATTTCATTATTTTTATTTTTAGTTTTATAAACCAATCCTCCCCTTTATTGCTTTCTTAGTTTAGTTAAATTAATACGAAAATTGTCACGACTTAATTCCTACTCCTCGTGGGATCGACCCTTGCTCGCCACTACTACTAGTTAGTAGAGGTTAGTAGAGGTTAGTTGAGGAAAACTTATAAATATAAATTTGTCGTGTCGCGACGTGCGGTCAAAATACCTGTGTTAGATTTATTTTGTTGATGTGTTTCGAAGTGCCTGTGTTACACTTATTTTGTGTGTTTCTATCTTCATTGTTCTATGTGAAAAGTTAGATGCCTTCGGCTCGTTTGTGATAGATGTTGAGATGTCACAGTATGCTGGAAAATCATTTTTAAGCTATATTATGGATTTGATTTGACTGTGAGGAAACTGTTAAGAAACTGATGTTGCCTCAGTTTGAGCTGAATTTGCAAGAGAATGGATGGTTGAATCTGTCGCATGGTTCTCTTTGTGCCTTTCTTAATTTGAAGTTTTTAGAGGCTTGACTATGTAGTTTCTATGTTATGGTTCGTGCTTATATCAACGAATGATATATTTAGTTTTGAGGACTAAGGAATATGCGTCGTAGTATTTGAACAAATGATATATTTTGCAGAAGATGTTGATTTGAATGTATGCTATCCTAATCATTTTCACCTTTTCAGGTAAGTACCATGTCACAGGGTTCAAACACGAGTTAAAGCAATCGATATATAGATCCTCCAATAATAGTCAAATGGACGTCAGACTATGTGATCGTGACGAGGAATGCAATGTGTTGACATCAATGACGAATGAAAAACCTCGGCTCGAAGGTTCTACAAATAACATCAGTGGAAGGTAAAGTTTCGATAACACTTTGTGGAATAAGACATTTTCTTTTGAATTTGATTTTGGGTGAGGTTGTAGATTATCTAAGAATGAAATCAAAACAATAAAAATAAAAATAAAATAAAATAAATAAGAGAATTTTCTAGTTCACGGTTCCGTCTACACCCTCGACTGACTCGTCTAATCAACTTTAGAATCAAATCTCGCTATCTCATGAA